AGGTGGATGAGTGGCTTTACACTTAGAGACAAAATGCGAAATGATTATATCCGTGATAGGGTTGGTGTAGCTCCTATGACCGACAAAATTAGAGAAAGTCTTCTTAGATGGTTTGGTCACATTAATCGTCGACCATCCGATGATCCGATTAGGAGAGTAGATGTTTTAGATTTGACTTGTGTTAAGAAAGGCAGTAGATCTAGGAAGACTTGGGCTTATTGTATTAAAAATAATCTTAATTTACTAGAATTAAATGAAAATATGACACTAAATATGACACAATGGAGAAAAAAGATTCATGTAGCCGACCCCACGTAGTGGAATTAAGGCTTTGCTGTTGTTGATTTTTATTCTCCCCTTGGTGATTTGTCGATCCTTTTCATGGTGTTCAATTTTCTATTATTTTCTTAGTGAGGTTTTTGTCATGTTTATTGTTTTTTGACGAACACCCAAAAATAAGCCTGATTACTACTTTTAATGAATTTTTAAAATATCGAGAATTTAAATTAACAGAGTCTACACACTTCCTGCCAAGTACCTAAAACTACTGTAATGTGCAATTCATCTAAAATGTGCTTGTAGTCTGGAAGATCTTTTTATAGAATTTTACTCCCCAATCCTTCGATTCTTCTTTATTCAACTTCATTGTAGTATACTTAAAACTCTGCATATTGCAGACCACAGCATAAAGTTTTTGGGTTAACAAATGTGCTTGAAATTTTTTTGCTTGATTTTTTTTTTGGATCCTTGGAAAAATCTGATTATGATCACTCCAATTACACATAAATCAAATGTGTGATGCACCTTTAAGAAATATGTAAAAAAATTGCTAAAAAATAAAAAAAAAACAAAAACTAATTAATATGTTTCATCTCATTTTTTCCTAGGAATTATCAGTATTTAATATGGTTTCATTCATTCGGTAACAAGAAGTTAATTTTTCTTACAAACATCAAAATGGTCCCTTGATTTTTTATATGTGACTTTTAATACCAGATCGTCAAGATCTAACGCGGGGCTTGAAATTAATCAATGCGGATACAAACGATATGCAATGGAAATTAAAAATTTTTATATTCATTTTGTATATCTAACAATTAACAAATGAAAATGTCACTACAAAAAAAAAAAGATTAAATTAAAGCAGTTATAAATTTATCTTTGGGCAGATCCACAATTTTTTCATCTATTTCTCGTCTTCTAATCAATTAATTAAACTTGAAATGTTAGTTTAAAATAACAATGAGCGAACTATATTTAGTTAATGCTCATACTCCTAAATTATATTGATATAATGAAAGAGAATAATATGCATTTCAGTTAAACTTTATGTAAATTAATCTAAGAGTATTTTAAGGTTTGTACTATCTAATATGATCATTTAGTGTAATTCTAAACATTTATTATCTCTTACTGTTTGATGGGGCTTTGTCTTCTCTTTTCTTCAACAAAAAACCTGTAATCATAAATAAAATATTCTTGTTACTTTATGATAATTAAATCTTACTATTTTCCACTAATTTGTCTTTTATTAATTTTATAAATCATCAATTTAATTTAAAGATTCATCCTTTTTATTCAAATAATATTATCATTGACTTATTGCTATTTTAATATAGTGTTTTTAAAATATAGAGGTCTTTAAACCATGCAATTTATAGGTGGGCTCCCAAACATTTAATTTACCCGCGAAGTACTCCGTCACGTCCTTCTCTGGTGCCATTCCTTTCTTTTCGTGTCTTAGTCGGTGCGGGAGCAGAGAACATGGGTAGAACATGACAAAACAGGCTTGCAGAGCATTAACTAAGGCATTGTCATGGACCCAGTCGTTGTCCAAACATCCTCCGAAGCCGAGTAGGCGAAGCGATGCTGTCTCTCGCTGAAATAACTAATTGTGAACTCCCACCATTCAAGCTCTCCACCCTAGCCAAGCTCACCCTCTGCGTCTCCTTTGAGTGGAGCTTCGCTTCCTCTTTCGTCTCCCTTTCACCTCCACTTGCATCACTTAAAAAATCAACTACTTCAAATCCATTGTATGCGTCCTCCTCCATCCCGCTCTCTGTAAAGCCTCTCGCCTCTGCAAGCCTGTCTCGTCCTGTTCTGCCCATGTCGATATCGTCTGCAGCTTTGGCTCCTCTCCTGCCTGGTTGCTCGTCTCTAACTGCAACCCTGCCCATATTGCTTGGGCCCGAATTCTCCGTTCCCGCGCTGACGGGAGACGAAGAGAAAAGAACGACATCAAAGGACACGACGGAGTCCTTCTCGAGCAAATTAATTGTTTGGGAGCCTTTACCTATAAATTGCATGGTTTAAGAACCCCTTTATTATAAATATTTTCCCATAATTTTATTATTATTATTTAAGTATGATAATATAAATTGATTTTTTTTTTCATTTATACTATTACATATTTACCTATAAAATTTTTATAAAATTAAATTAAACTCAAGTCAAAATGATAAATTAAATACATTAGAAATGCATAAAAAACTAACATGCAAGCTCGAACATTAGAAATGCAAAGAAAACTAACATGTGAGCTCAAATATATGGCTTCAGCTCGAATTGGTGCTTCATAACCCACAAGAAACCGACAAGAAGAAGCCTTCCTGCTCGACAAAATTACTGTTTGCTCTTCTTTGGCTTCGATCGCAAGCCCCATCACCCTTATCTTCGATAACGCACTCCTGTGAAAGTTCTAGCCTTTAATAGCCTTATCGTTCTGCTCTAGACGCAAGAGTTTTGCCTGCGAGCATTTTTTGTCTTTTTCGTTTGATTCCATGCACCAGAAATTGTTCGCCTTCTCCTCCTTCATTGTAACTCATCGACATAGTACTTTGAACCTAAAGCCCAATCATCTGCTCGATTTGGTTCGCCTGACAATGACGATCTCTTTGCTGCAAGCAAACGAGGTCCTTTTTTTTCCCATTGTCAGTATCGCACTTGTTGGGGCAACTCTGGTTTTCCACCACCTCATCTTCTCTCTTGAGCCATTTGAATATCACACATGCAGGTGCTCCTTCGATCCTTTGGTTGCTTTTATGAATCTCTTTTCGTTTCCTCGTAAAAAATCCTTCTGCTTGATACGACTACTGCTATGTCAGAGTAGTGTTGGGTGGGCAGTACACAAACTATAAATGTGTTCAATTTAGTCCAACGACTCCTCAAATATGATCCACAATAGTCCTATTTGATTACTCTGGATTAAATCCGAGTTAAATAACAAAATTGGGCACGGCACGGCAGATAGTCTGGGTTTAAAATGCCCCCTCACATAAAAAGTGTAGGGACTATTTTGATTTTATTTCCTTTATTTTAATTTATCTTATTTTATCTCCCGTAGCTGCTACACTATCTACTTTTGGAGTTTTTTATTTCATCACTGAGCTTAGCTTCTTGTACAGGTTGAGGAGCTGGTTGCCAAGGAGAAGGAAATGCAAGAAAAATTATTGCAGAAACATGTGACTGTTGTGGACTGTTTTGAGAAGAAATATATAGGCAGAGAAATCGAGAATAGGGTTGCTCCTTATCAACAGAAATTATCAATCTTAAAGCAGGAGGTTGATGATCTTCTTGATTATATTGATGATATCTGATAAATTGGCTGTTATATTATATCAACTTTCTTCCCTACAAGAGACAATTTGTAGGGAATACCAAAATTTTGGCTAAGCCATGTTTTTTTCTTTCTTTATGAGCATGAAAGGTAAGTGGAACTTAAGAAGTTGATGAGTTTTGCAAGCTAGAACTGATGTATTTTAATGAGATTTTTTTATCATGTTGAATGAAATGAAACGGCTAACACGCTGTAATGGTTTTAATATGTGCTGTAATTTTCAGATTTTTTTTGTTAAATTGCTTAATATGTGCAGTGGTTTTGAAAATTCTCATATAAGATATCTGGACATTTTTAGAGTACTTATTGAATGACATTTATAAAATCACTTCAAGCCTTACGAATTTTTTTTGTGGAAGATTTACATATATACCATGAAATTCTTATGCTTATACATATCTAACACCTAAACTTCAATTTTTATATATTTGCCACGTTATCTACTCATAAAAAAAGGTGTATTTCACTTTTTTTATACAGAAAAGGAGGCATGCTTGTAAAAATTGAAGCTTAGGGTTAGACGTACATGCGTAAGAAATTTGTGGTATGCATGTGAAAACCCCTGTTATTATTTATTATCGTTATATATTTTGTTGTCATGTGGTCTATTCTTTTATATAAATATGCTTATTTTCAAATTATAAGAACTAAGTGAAAGATTAATTTGGAATTTTCATATAAATAAGTGATGATAAAGTTTTAATTATAAAATCATTTTAAAATAGTGATAAACATTTAATATTTTAAATGAACTATAAACTTTATAGTTGGGTCCCCAATGACCTTTATTTAAAATTTATATGCCCTTTGAGCCCATTTGAAAACCTTCCAAATCTCTAGATAAGCCAAATACAATTTTTGCCTCCATAGTTTATTTCTCCTAGGTTGATATTTTCTCTAATTCTATGTACGGGCTCACCGCAAACTCTTGTGGACCTTATCTCTGTCTAGTAATAAATCATAAATTTTATCTAATCCTTCGGTTGCCTCAAAGCAAGCACCATGTCACATTTCAGCACAGGACTTAAATACTATTTTTCGGCCCTACACCTAGCCGATGTGGGACTATTTGTCCGTGACATTCTCCTCCACC